TTTAGTCTTTTCCACCTGAAATGACATAAAGTTAATTACATTATTTATGATTTTTACATGTATAATAATTGTATATGATTTTTAATAATCGCAAGTAGACATCTATATGATGGAACAAGTTGCAACTTTTATGAAGGAGCAAAATTACCTAATCTTTTATTCTGAAACTGAGAAAAGATTTATCTTTGCAACATTTATTTATTTTTATTAATTATTATTTTATTTCACTAAAGAAGTTCTAACGTTATTTTACAGAGGGAGGATGGGGAGGGGGAGAGAGGGGCAGAGGGGGGGCAGAGGAAAGAGAGAGAAAGAGAGAGAGAGAGAGAGAGAGAGAGAGGGAGGGAGAGAGAGAGAGACAAAGAAAAAGAGGGATATGAATTTATATCGCAAACATAACTTCTACTTGTAGAAAGTTCTCCTTTATAATATAAAGAAATCAATTTACCTTGGCACTAACACTTTCGCAAATATGATTCAGTGATATGAATTTTGTTAAGAATATCATGCACCACATGTCATTAGCAAGTACAAGTTTCAATTTAGTTGAATCGCTCCCATATATTTGCTTTAGACACAACATCATATGATATTGAACATAAAATGTTACAATCAAAATAACGAAATAGGATATCATCTGCAACGTCAATTGCGTCGCGAATAAGTCGTTTATGTTACGAGCTACTCGACAAAGCTCCGAATGAAGATGCCTAGAACGATGTTATATTACGATTATATTAATAAACAAATAGATCTATTATAAAATTATAATACATTTATTAGATTGGAATTTTTATATAGATTTTATATTTTACATGCGCGTGAAGAATTTGTCTTATATTATATTAAAATTCTGATTTGGAGTAAATCAACGACCATTGTGCTTTGTTAATTATAATTCTAAAGATAAAAAAAATTAAAAAAAATTGCCATAAATAAATGCCGTGTGTAAGATTATAACATACTAAACGGCAATACTTATACGTTTGGTCAACGGTACATAACAATCTTTTCTTGTTTTTTACAAAATATTTCCTTCAATATATCTATGTCACTTTAGCATCTATCAATTTACATTACGGTCCATAACACATGCTTGCGATTCTCGTTGCTTTGAACATGGCGAATGATAAAAGACTTTTCCCACTTGCATCTCAGTCCATACTCTTCAGTCCCAGACAGTTGTTCAATATAGTTGTTTATTTTATCCAATCTGGTACCGATATACCTGCAATTTTTTTATTTAAAAAATACTTAAACGAGATATTTTTATGCATGTAATGGAGTAAAAAGCAAATGATTCGTCCATTTTTTTTCTTTTACTCACAATTTTATATATATACGTAATTAATAATCATGAATTTTTTATTTTGCATAATCTATTTAATGACGTTATTATATAAAATAATTTAATTTATTTCTAGAAATAATATTGTTGTAATATAATACTCTTAACTCAAAAAATTTAAGAATTTATATAGATTTTAATTAATTAGATATTGCCAGATTTTAATCATAGCCATTTAATAATAGTCATTTATTATTAAGTAGTTTTAATAAAACAGTAGGTTCTACCATATAATACATTTTACAAACCTTAAAATAAACGCAAACATTATATCTCCGAGAGTGTTGACGTGAAAAGGATACCCCAGAACGAGAGGAATAATCATGGCTTTTATAGTATTGTGCTTTTCTATATTCCAAATAGAATCAGTAGTAGATACTGTGAGAATCACTATAAAGTATATACCTAACGCCCATATTATCGATTTTTTAATTCTACGATATTCCTTAGGCGTTCCAAGTCCTTCCAATGTATCATCCACAAGACCAAGTTTCTTTATACACACGTGGATTTTCTGATAATAACATCGGCATGAAATTATATATAAATCATGAATATCATTCTTGCCAAAATATACAAGAAACACATATGTAACAATGATGCATTTGATAATAAAGCAATAATTTATAATAAGAATCTAGTTAAAACTTTTTATGTCTAACGCAAAATAATTTGAATACAAAATTTCTCAATTAACATTTTCTCTAGATAAAATTTTTCTAGAAATCAATGTTTTAAAAAAATAAAATTGTTTTTGAAGAGATACAAGAGTTTATTCTACGTAAATGCAAACAAATTTTAGCGAAAATTTTTATTAAATTTAACTTTTTTAAATAAATAAAGATAAAGATAACTTCAAAGTGGCAGGTAATATTAACGTCTTTTATAGATATATTATCAGCTACGCTTTAGATATTGAAGCAATGGTGTAACATTTATAAAGAAAAGATATACCTGGTATTTGCGAACGGTGATGGTTACAGATATTATCGTCACAAGAATATTTACATTTATCGTGAAAAAAGACAAAAAGCTATTAAATATACGTTGTGGCGTAAAGACGTATAACATAAAGTGAAACGCACAGCCGTAGAGACTCCACACAATTAATATATAAAAGACACTCAAGCAAAATTTCCAATAATTGAGAGGATATCTGAGAATTCCGAAACCAAGGATAAAAGCGACTGAGGAAAGAGGGCTTAAAGCTCTTTCAATGGTATCAACCATCGCAACTGTTGCAACTTTATATGCTAACTATTGAATCCCCATTTGAGAGTCGCGTAATATGCAGAAGGCACATTCATCACGATGATGAGATAATATTTGATTAGATCAACTCATTATAATGTCATTAATAAATTTCATCATTAAACGATAGCATACATACACGGTATATATGAGGGAGAGTCAATAATTATCCGCACCCTACTTCAATAATTTATTAAAACAACAGTAGAGAACATATAATTAGGTACATCATTTTCATAGTCCTCTGCTTTTCAGTGCACTTGTTCCAGCGTTCCACAAGCTTACATATACCCTTTAAAAAATGTTTTTTATTTCTCTCAGCCACGTATGCACCATTTTTTACACATGTTGGTTGTTGTGGCATGATAATGCATGCCCAAATATTGCTGTCCACACTGTTCAAACGTTACATATCTATTCTATAGATTAGTATAGATTAATAGAAAATAGTTAATCTATATAATATATTTGAATTCTCATCTTACATGTCATTACGTTATACGGATGTGTTCATTTGTATTAGAATAACAACATACGTCGTGACCGTAGCAAGGAACTGAAAAAAATACACTATATACTATATATACACGATATCTTGTTATTTTCATTCTGACAATAGAAATCTTACGATTAAACAATGTAGTTATACATTTCAATTTTTTTAACATATGACAATTACAAACATTATTATTGAGAATAAGTAAATAACATAATCTTATTTAAATATTTAAGTTAAACAAACAGTAAGTAACATACCTTGCCAGTAAGACGATTATTAATTGAAAAGAAATCAGCAGCGGTAAAATTTAATGGATTAAGCACTAGTTGCTGTGCAAATTGATGAATCTGCGAATACAATTTCTTTCTTATTATGTACATAAACAATACATAATATAAATTTATAGATAGGGTAAACTTGGGTAAGATGGCCATACATACAGGAAAGATGGCCAACCTATGTTCTTTCAATCTAGCTCGCCATGAAACATCGAATAAACATGAGTTGGCCATCTTTCCTGTATGGCCATCTTACCCGAGTTTACCTTATATTTGTATATATATTTCCAATTTGTAATTTATATCTTAAATAAATTAATCGCCGTATAAATATTATTTATAAAGTTTTGTGCTCTGCAAAAAAAGATCTAATTTGATTGATGAATTATCAATAATACATTGAATAGATTTACCTCTTCTCTCATATCATTATCGATAGAAGACCCTTCAAAAGATTGTATAATTTCACCGGTTTTATATGCCTGAAATAAACAAATACATATGATACGACTTTGATATAAAATTAGAAATAAATCGCACAATAGATGTGCAGTGCACAACACGTATTTATATATGAAGAATTAAAATTATTATGCATAGATATGTATAAGTATATTTTAAAAGACATTTTGAATATATATTATACAATTTATATACAATAAATAAATTATGTAACATTCTTAACATAAACTTGATATGTTTAACTGTAAATAACTCAATTTTAAATATTGCATATAATTGTATACATTATTCTTATTACAAAAAATAATTTTTATACCTCTGTTGACACGCTTGTACAAAGCCAATTTACTAATGTAATTTTAAATAAATAAATGCATGCCATCACCATCATGGCAATAATCCTTTCGTTGTTGACTATCACGCGTAACTGGCCAAAGAGTGCACAATATACACAGTAAATATTCGTTGTCACTATCGTAAAATGGACTGCCAATTCAAGCAGAAGTTGCAGACAGTAAGCATGATTAATTTGTTGTCCTATTCTTGTAATTTCCAAATGTAAATGTCTTTAATAGAAAAATGTCAATTAGTTAGTAATTACATTTCAGTAATATTAAAATCTTTTAAACACACGATTATTTGAACAAATTACAAAATCCGGGACATATTATGTGTTTGAGTGAGAGGGTGGGTGAGAAAGAAAGAAATATAAAATAAGCTTAATTTTTAACAAGAATAAATATATGTATATATTATATTAAGTATTATAAAAGAATACGTAAGATGAAAAACAGCTATTATTTAAACAATTATATATTAATCATAATTATAAGATCTTTTTGATATTTATATTTGTTATATTATATTAATGGAAACATATTATGATAGAAGCAAGAATTATTATTGATCTTACCTTAGCGTTTGAATGAGATGCATCTTGTCTTTGTTGTTTTCATAGTTTGCCATGACAAATGCAATAGACGTATTATCGTGCCGATTATGAATCTTGAAGACATTTGATTCATTTGCACTATATTGCACTATATTGTTGATTAGAGTATTTGTCTTCTGAAATTTTACTTGAATACATCTGCCACATTTCAATCTTAATGAATACCCAGTACGTAAGTTATAGAGACATGTTATATGTTTGTCCATTACAAGTATTTTAAAAAGATATTATTCTAATATCTTTTTAAAATATCTTAGACAAATATCTTAGACAAATATCTTAGAAATCTTAACAATTGTAATCCTTTGGTCAAGCTTTTCACGAGATGTTGTTATTATTGTTTACTTCTTTAACAAAAATGTTACTTGCCTGATAAACGAGACGAAGGTGAGATCCACTACAGAGTTTATAACAATCGGAAAACACAGGCATATTTCGTGACAAAGGAGAGCCCAGTATCCAATATCGCGATGTGCCCATACTCCATATGTGATGAATATTGTTATCATTCCTGCTATCCAGATAGCCATAAAACAGAGAATATTGGTGAAGGTCTTCTGATACTCTGATTTTATGCCCAGTGCTTCTAAAGTGTTGTCCGCTATACTGTTCCTCTTAATTATGTTATTCATATTCTTCAAGTATCAAAATATATTAATAGATTATTAAATTTGTTTAATATTTATTCAAAGACAGATTTGTTTAATATTTATTCTTTGTGATGTCAAAGAAAAAATCTATACCCGTGTAAATATAAAGTTAATAATTTTGTATACAAGAAAAATGTAAAAAAAGAAAAAAAAATTCTCTGTATATATATGCATACTTTATCAATATTTTGAAATTAACTATTAATGAAATTATATTAATATTATTTCTATAATTCATTAATGTAGTTTTTCCATAACTTTTGTTTGTTATTTCTGCATTAATTTTACGTGATATGTTATTACGTACCTCTGATTTCCACCAGAATAAAATTATAGCCAAGACAGCAACTAAGACGTTAACTCCCACGACAAAATAATATAACATAAATTCTTGAATTAATAGTTGTTGGAAAATGTAAAATTCTTTGTAAAGCATAATGAAATATCCCGTCAACATTGAAATAACGTAGAAAGCACTTAGATAATATCGTGGACGATTTATGGGTATTTCGAAAATACCCATGCAAAATATACAATTGAGCCATATAATAGGCATAACAGCTTGCTTAAAATTTTTCACACCCGACATCATCTCTTGAACCATTCACTGTCAACCTAGATGGACTAATCTAAAAGGTTAACAAATATGTATTTATATTAAATAATGCTATGATTAATATTTTATAAATAAGCTTACGTTATTTATGTTTTTTTTTTATGTACAGTTGAATGCGGTTATTCGTTAAAATGATAAATCATATAAAGAATAAGTCTCAACTAATTGAAATAGGCACTGAGAGTCGTTTTTTAATTGCAAGTGTGACCAAATTATCGAAAAGTGCGGGAATAAAACGTGTTACACGTGTCTATAAAAACTAAATTTGACTTGAACGGAATATTAGTTCTACGTATTATTTTTAATGAACCCTAAAGCCTGTGCTACAGCTGGCGAGCAACTAACAGCTGATAAGCGATCTCGCGTGATGGTATATAATGCATCGCTGTCAGCCTGCGCAGGTCGGTGCAATTTCACTTATTACACGTTTTTTCACGCCGGTAGTGTATATATTGTAAAACATTTTCAATTATTATTTTAATCATAGCTTACTTGACTTTTCCTCAATACTGAGAGGTACGTTTAACTAGCGTTAAATAAATAATTGTAATCTAGCATCATCTCTGTCTCGGCACTTTAAAATATTATTTCTGATAAAATCTATGATTGACATCTTTTGTCCTTGATTGTAAATTAAGTCAAGTACAATACAGAACTTTAATATTACTTTCTGAGCTGTACTCATGGAAATTCTATTGATTGTACGTATATGCTGTACGAATATACATTGAATAACATGATAATGAAAAGTAATACAAATTTACTATGTGCGAAAAGATTGATTGTATTTTTTTACTTTATTATCCAGACAATGTAATATGATTGCTCACCCGTTAAATAGTTCATTGTATCCATTTTCGTAGATTTTGGAATATCCTGTACACGAAAAAATAAAATTTCTGATAGTTTTCAATAAATATTAAAGTATGAAATATAAATAAATTATAATCTCACAATTAATGTATAAAACACAATTAATATATAAAAGGCATCAAGCGAAATCTCCAATAATTGAGAGGATATCTGAAAAAATTCCGAAACCAAGAATAAAAGTGACTAAGACCCAGTTCCACAAATATCGGTTAACTTTTAACCTTAGGTTAACTCACTTTTTGTCTCTAACGCCCCCCTTAGGTTAACTCATTTTTTGTCTCTTTCTGACGTCCCCCTTAGAAAAAGACGAAGAATGAGTAAATCTAAGATTAAAAGTTAAAATCGACGTTTGTGAAACTGGGCCTAAAGAGAGAAGACTTAGAGCTTTCTCTATAGTTTCAACCATCGCAACTGTTGCAACTACATATACTAACTATTGAATCCTAAGTTGAAAGTCACGTAATATGCAGAAGGCACATTCATCACGATGATGAGATAATATTTGATTAGATCAATTCATTATAATGTCGTTAAATCATTAAGCGATAGCATACATATACGTGATTAGGACTTAGGAGAATCAATATTTCTACAAAGTATTAGTAATTTTTATACTGTATTGTAACACATAACGTATATATGTGTAATGTATAACGTATGTATAATGTGTGTGATGTGTATATATGTATGTGTAATATGTATATATGTATAAACAAATTTTCTCTCTAACTTATATTATATTTATAAAAAGTTGATTTCTTATCTAATTAATAATTTACATTACTATGAAACAAATATCATATTATTCGCTAATATATTATTATACCGCTTACCTATATCTATATATACTATTGCAATTTGATTTATTCAAAATAGCATTACAGAAGAAAGTAAAATTATTGGAGAAATAAATTTAACAAAATTTTACTAATTAAGTTTGTATAACGTTAAAAAATGTTTTAATTAAATTAATGTCTAAACACTCTAATACATTTGAAAAATTTTAAATCTTTATAAAATACATGACATTCATAAAGAATAGTAATTTAAGTGAGCTCTTATTTTTTAAACTTCTTTGTAAACTCCTGTTTCTTGGAATAGCAGTATTAATAGAAGATTGTTTATCTTTAATATGTTTGAATTTTCATCTTACATGTCATCTTATGTTATGGGTGTATTTATTTGTATTAGAATAACGACATACGTCGTGACCGTGGCAAAGAACTGAAAAAAATACACTATATGTATGTACGATATCTTTGATATTTTCATTCTAAAAAATCTTGCGATTATATTAAATAATATCCCATACAGTACATTTGTCCAAAAGCGACATAAGCGTCTTTTAGACGTCTTACTAAAAGATGGCTAAAAGACATCGAAAAGACATCTCATGTCTCGATTTTGGACATGGTGCTGTCTGGGATAACTATACACTTTAATTTTTTTAACATATAAAGGAGAATGGAGTAACTGTGAACACGGAATAAATGCGAATACTATTGTAGAGTATATTAGAGTAATTGTGATATTCTTGCACTTCTCGTATTCGTACCACTGAGCGTATATCGGCGGACTATATTGCTGGGTGCGAGAAGTGGGAGAATATCATTACTCTAATATACTACAATAGTAATCATTCGTGTTTATTCCGTGTATTCGCAGTTACCCCACTCTTCCCTAACAATTAAAAACATTATTATTGAGAATAAATAAATAACATAATCTTATTTAAGTAATTAAGTTAAACAAATAAGTAAATAACATACCTTGCCAGTAAGACAATTATTAATTGAAAAAAAACCAGCAGCGGTAAAATTTAATGAATTAAGCACTAGCTGCTGTGTAAATTGATGGATCTGCGAATACATTTGCATTTCTTATTATATACGCAAACACATACTTAAATATATGCATTATTCATGTTATATACATAAACAATACGTTGAATTTATAGACAAAGTTGCAATTTATATCTTAAATAAATTAATCGTCGTGTATAAATAAAAATTAATGTTTTATGTTACGCAGGAAGGGATCTAATTTTGCAGATTGACGTAATTATCGATAATACATGAATAGATTTACCTCTTCTCTCATATCATCATCGATAGAAGACCCTTCAAAAGATTGTATAATTTCGCCAGTTTTACATGCCTGAAATAAACATTAATGCATATAATGTGTTGACATAAAATTAGGATTAAATCGCACAATATATGTGCAATGCATGTCGTATATTCATATATAAAAATGGAAACCGTTATATCCACACATATAAATACTAAAAGACACATTCATAAGTATAATTTATACAATTTATATATACAATCCCTGCTGAAAAACTGTCACAGAATTTTCCAATTTTTTAAGCAAATAAACATGTTTTTCAGAAAGCTTAGACAAAAAAATAATGGAATATTTCAAATTTTTCTTGCCAATACATCTTTGTAAAACTCGAAATATAAATATAAGAAAATTCGCGCCATTTATCAGAAATTTTCATACAAATACTGAAATATGCCGAAAATTCCCATCCAATTATTCCTGAAAATATTTTTGAGAAACTTTACATATTTTGTCAGAATGTTTTATAAATCTAAAAAATCAGAAATTTTTGAAAAATTTCTCAGAAAATATAAGAATTATTTTCACCAGGGATAACTAAATTTTGTAATATTTCTAATTTAAACTTGTTATGTTTAACTGTAAATAACTAATTTTTAAATATTACATATAATTGCATATGTATATTATTTTTATTACCAGAAAATAATGTTTTATACCTCGGTTGATACATTCGTACAAAGCCAATTTATTAACATAATTTTAAATGAATAAATGCATGCCGATAGTGCCATGCCAATAATCTGTTCCTTGTTGACTGTCACGCTTAAATGGCCAGAAAATGCACCATATACACAGTAAGTAGTCGATGTTACTATCGTAAAGTGGACTGCCAATTCGAGCGGAAGTTGCAGACAATAAGCATGATTAATTTTCCGTCCTATTCTCGTAATTTCCAAATGTAAATGTCTTTAATAGAAAAATATTAATTAGTAGTGTTTATTAAAGTAATATTAAAATCTTTTAAATACACGATTATACATATATTAATTATAATTATAGGATAATTATAGGATCTTTCTAATGTTTGGTTGTTATATCATATTAATGGAAATTTTATAATAGAAGCAAGAATTATATACAATATACTATTGATCTTACCTTAGCGTTTGAATGAGATGCATTATCTTCTCTTTGTTGTTTTTATAGTTAGCCATGACAAATGCAATAGACGTATTATCGTGCCGGTTATAAATCTTGAAGGCATTTGATTCATTTGCACAAAGCACTATATCGTTGATTAGAGTATTTGTCTTCTGAAATTTTGCTTGAACACATCTGCCGCATTTCAATCTTAATCAGTACTCAAATGCGTAAACAGAGACATGTTATATGTTTACTTGTCCATTACAAATAATTTAAAGAGATATTATAATTGACAAATATCTTAGAAATCAAAAAAATCGTAATAATTCCAGTTCTTTGGTCAAGCTTTTCACGAGATATTGTTATTGTTTTTACTTTTTTAACAAAAGTATTACTTGCCTGATAAACGAAGCGAGGGTGAGATCCACTACAGAATTTATAACAATCGGAAAACATATGCATATGGTGCAATAAAGGAGAGCCCAGTAATCATCATTGTCGCGATACAGCCATGCTACATGTATGATTATTAATGTTATTGTGCTTACTACCCAGAGAGCCATAAGACAGAGAATATTGCGGAAGGTTTTCTGATATTCCGATTTTATGCCCAATGCTTCTAAAGTGTTGTCCGCTATACTATTCCTCTTAATTATGTTATTCATATTCTTCAAGTATCAAAATGTATTAATAGATTAGTAAATTTGATTAATAATATTTATTCGAAGACACGTCATGTGATGTCAAAAAGAAAAATGTATACTATGTAAATATATAGTTAACAATTCTGTATACATAAAAAAAATATTAAAAAGAGAAAAGAAAAAAATTCTCTGTATACATACTTTATATGTATATATATTTTAAAATTAGATAAATATTAATGTTTTTGCAATTTATTAATGTAATCTTTCTACCACTTTTGTTTACCAATTCTGCACTAATTCTACGTAAAATGTTATTACGTACCTCTGTTTTCGACCAGAATAGAATTATGGCCAAGACGGCAGCTAAGATGTTTAATGCTATGACAAAATAAAATATCATAAGTTCTCGAATGAGAATTTTTTGGAAAATGTGAATTATCTTGTAAACCACAACGAAATATCCCGTCAACATTGAGATGACGTAGAAAGCACTTAGATAATATCGTGGACGATTTATGGGTATTTCGAATATACCCATGCAACATATACAATTGAGCCATGTAATAGGCATAACCGCTTGCTTCAAATTTTTCACACCCGACATCATCTTGAACCATTCACTGTCAACCTAGATGGACTAATCTATTTGATTAACAAGTACATATTTATATTAAATGATGTTACGATTAATATTTTATATAAATAAGCTTACGTTATGTTTTTTTAAATTTTAGTGCAGTTGAACGCGATTTCTTCGTTGAAACGATAAATCGTATAAACGTATAAATCGTATAAATAGATCTTAGTTATCCGAAATAGGCACTGACAGTCGCTGTTTAATTGCGAGACTGACCGAATTTTCATACAGTGTGGAAAGAGAACGCGTTACACTTGTCTGACTTGTCTGTAAGGACTAAATTGTGACCTGGACGGGATACTATATAGTCCCGTGTGTTATTTTTATTGAACCCTACAGCTGATGAGCAACTAATATTGCTGATAAGCACGATCTCGCGTGCTAGAGGGATACATCACCGCCAGTCTGCGTAGGTCATACACTTTTACTTATTACACGTGTTTCACGCCCCTAGTGTATATTTTACAACACTTTACTTATTAACTGTAGCTTGCCTGACTTTTCCGCTACTGAAAAACATGTTTAACCAGCAGTAAAAATAATTAGACTCTAGGATCATCTCAGTCTTGACATTTCATAATATTATTTCTGATAATATCTATGATATTTCTGTTGTACATGTTTTATCCTTGATTTTAATTAAGTGAAGTACAAATGTAGAACTTTAATATTACTTTTTGAGCTGTACGCATAAAAATTCTATTGATTGTATGTGCACGCTGCACAAATATAAGTTGAATAACATAATAACGAAAAGCAATATAAATTGGCTACGTGCAAAAAGATTGATTGTATTCTTTACTTTATTATCTAGAAAATATAATTGATCGTTGTTTGTATAAAAAAAAAGTTATACATATATTCGTATAATGTATTTCTGTTTAATTAATTTAAATGATTAAGTATCATGTTGTGTTTCACAAAGGAAAGGGATCTTATCTGAGGACGTACTTTTAGCTTAAACATAGTGAGAACTTTAATGAAATTGCATTACGCAAATAAACACGATATGTTTGTATATTATCGTAGATATCATCTGAAACTGGATGATTATGGCTTTTATCTTAATTGAGAATTACGTTGAAAGTCTATACAACTGTACGATATGATATGATATGATACAGAAAAAATAATATTAATAATGGAATTTTCACGTTTTGCAGTAAAAAAAAACTGTTTTCTATTAATTGTGTTCTTTTATATAATTGTTTTAATCTCTAACACTAATCGACCGATCAGCTGATCAACTAATTGAATGATACAAATGTATATGTGTGGCGATCGTGACGCAGAGAAATGTGGTTTAATGAGCTGAAAAGGTCTGAGTTTATAAATCCGACCAATAAGCGTCAGTTTTTGTTCGATCGCGACACTCTCGGATGAAGGTATCTTGTCATGTGAATCTCTTTACTTTATATTTAAAGAGGAAACCGGTCCTTCAGGTTGGGAATTGGGCAGTGAAAGTTGAGCTGACAATTAACAGCTACTCCCAGAAACTTGTTTCGTAACGTACAGTTACGAGAACTTCAGGGAGATTAAGGCCCACATTGAGCACTGTAGTGCCGAGAAAAAAAAAGAGGAAGACAAATATATATGTATATACATATGTATAGAAAAAAGTCCCCTATTATGAGATATTAGGCTCCTAATATGCGATAGCGAGGTTTCTGCTAAACTAGTAGGTTCTATCTGTTGGTTTTATCATTCACTTATTGCCCTTAGAGTAAAACCTATTTAATTGAAAATTCATTATTCGATCGTGCGTGCACTCGCCTACTACAATTTTTAATTCTGCACATAAACTTTCGGCAATCACGCAAAATAAATGTGGTATCTCATAATAGGGGACTTTCCTCTCTATATATAGTATACTTTTTTATATTATCAAAAATTTCTAATTACCATGTAATTATCAAAAAAATGTTCTTATTGTGAAGTAATTATTAGTACCAATTTTTAAAACGCTCCACAACGCGTTTCCATTGGGTCAGCGCATATTGATAAGATAATCGCGATTCTTCGTTTGGCTTGAATATCCTGTCGGTTTGACGAAGTTCTAACAATTCTTCTCTATTCTTCCATAATCCTGAAATTAAATAGTGCATTATTCCATGTTCACGGATTCTGGAATATTCTGTATATGAAAAAATTAGATTTCTAATAGTTTTTAAATTATAAAATGTAAAATATAAACAAACTATAATAAATAAGAGTTTTTTGTACCACATTGTAAACCAGCCAAGAAAGCTACACCTAAGATGGACATCTCGACAGACACCGGACGTTCTACTTCCAACCCCGTCGAATCAGCTAACGATTGCATAACAAAATCATTTTTGGAAACTCCACCGTCAATCCTAAAAAATAACGAAATATTAATATGAACCAATACAATGTTATATATGTATGTACAAATGTGATTATTGTGCGTAAAAAATAACAGAAATCAGAAATTGATAGTAGAACCAAAAGCATTTCTTTCTCTTTCATAATATTATAATAAATTTTTTATAATTATTAACTGTGTAGATCACGAAATATGGATTTTTAAGCATATTATAATATTATCGTATAATTCTTATTACTTTATTCTTTGATACGTGAAAGAAGTTTCCTTGCATAAACATTCGTGAAGTAGCTGTATCCTAAAAACAAGACTTTCCAGTAAAGATCGAATAATATGCTCTTTCCTTGTGGTGGGCTTCAATCCAAAGAAACCAGTTGCGGCTGTATAATCATTTATAGGTGCCTGAAACAATAAGTGACGCGTAGTATAGTGAGACATTTTTCGGATGCATTATCAATTTTTATTTTAATTTTGTTTTTTAGTACCCACATCCTTCAATGTTCTTTTTTTCTGAATCTTATATAGTAAATACAAAGAATATTTCTTGAATGTTTAGTTTAAAGAAAAGTGGAAATAATTTTTATATTTTGCATATATTTTATTATTAAAAAGTAGAGTACATATAATTTCTTGTATCTTTTATTTTTATAGACATAATAAAGCTAAGAAAGTTTTAGAATAATTTTCTTAATTTGATTATAAAAACGTTTATCTCCTTGTGTTAAAGAAATAATTTTATAATATTTTTATATATAAATTGATACAAAAAATGTAATTTTTACTGTAACAAAACATACTTGCAATCCGCTGAATGCCGGAACGAAATATACTCCATCGGTGTCATTGACTGAGTTTGCTGCATCGGATGTTTCCGAAATATTGTCTATAAGTCCTGTAACAATCATAGTTAAAAATCAATACTAATAATCAATAATAATCATGTATAGAGTTTCTCCTAAAAAAAAATATTATTTTTAGCTTTAAAAAGTTATAGATATGTACGTTATATGGAATAAGCATTCATATAAATTACATTATGTTATATAATAATAGTATTTTTGTACATGAGATATTTTACTCTGGCCTATAAATAAATTTATAAATTTGATATGCGTATAATATTATATGATATTATAGATTTTATAATAATCACGAAGAACTAATAAATTACCTATTGATTTAGTCCATTCTATTAATATACCAGTGTCGCTTGAAGATCCTTCTGCAATATATATTAATTCTTTGCCGATTCGCCATCCGACGACTGGATAAAGTCCTATAAATAATTTTTCAATTTGTTTTATTATATATTTAAAACTATAGTAAATACATTGTTCTTGTAATATAAATTTGAAGGACTACCAGCAACGGATGCGTGAGGTTGTTGTCCTGTGTTAACATTCACGAAAGTGCCAGTTCCCATAGTAATCTTGAGATCGCCGGGCTTAAAACATCCTGAACCAAATAAAGATGCTGCTTGGTCGGCCATCTAATTTTACCAAGATATTATTAGGATTAAAGAACTTATTAACTTTGAAATTGACTCACGAGTATATAGTGTATACTCAAAATTAACTTTGATAAACAATTGTTGTATGTATTGATCATTAAATTAAACAAAGATTTGGATTACTTACGGAGCAACAAATTGGAATTTCAACTCCGAATATGTTTTCGGGCGTAACTCCGAAATTTCCTGCTGTATCAACCACTTCTGGAAAAATACTTCGTGGCAGTTTTAAAAGGTTTAACGCCCAGTCGGCCCATTCCATTGTAAATGGGTCGAAAATGCCAGTAGCTGAAGCACTTGAAACATCCATTATATGCCTTCCTGTAATAAACCAACTGTTAATCAGCTGTAATATGAGCGATAACGGATTAACATTATTATTGTTATTTTTATTTTAAGAAAATATAATGTTACATATGAAGTTTAAATCTTTATACACTGAGAAAAAAGTTTTTAACTTGACTAAATATTTTCAACTAATTATTATTTTTTGTAATTGAAATATTTAAGTATTTGAGTCAAATTACGTCATGCTAAATTTAAAATATGTCGTATTTAATTTAAATACATAAATATTTTAATATTATTATTTTAATATTAATATTTTACATAAATATTATTGAAAAAATAATAATTAATTGAAAATATTTAGTCAAATTAACAACTTTTCTTTCTCAGTGTAAAAGAAATATTAGTTACAACTTTTATGAGAGATAGATTGTGTGTGTGTGTGTGTGTGTGTGAGAATTTTAGGGTACTACATTAAATCTAAAAGCGAAACGTAAAATATTGTTATACCTGTTAATTTATATAAGAGCCAGCAATCCACACCTCCGAACGCCACCTCTTCATTGTACGCAGCTTCTCGGAGATTCGGTATATTCTGGAGAGCCCACACTAATTTTAAAGTAACCTATAATGAATCAAAGCTAAGTAAATTAAGATCCCAAACTAGCAATAATTATTCGTAAAAGCTTGAAAAAAATCTAAAAATTTTGTTGCAAAATTATGCTATTAATAGTCTAAATTTGATAAAATACGACGATTTAACATGATCGAGATCAAGAACAATCAAGACAAAGTATTGACTGGTAAAGCATTTCAACCTGCATGTTCATAAATTTCAGCACGCTGCCAGCCAGAAATCGTTTTTTTCTTGTAAATGTGTACAAGATACTCGCGCCCATTCTTAAACCTTTCATCGTTATTGATCGGTTCCATTCCTCGACTAAGGTGGCTGCACGTTGATCCTTCCATGTTATAAACCTGAAACAACAATCGTAATCTTAATCATGAAATTTTGTTCAAACCGAAATATCTTCATCGAAAACTCTGTTATTGTGTTTTTTGTGGTATTCTTACTTGTGATAGTATTTTCCACTTTTTATGTTCCAAGTAATAAAACTAGCGCGTTGCGATGAAATTCCAACGCAAGCAATATCCTTCGGGTCGATCCCGCCATCTGCAATCATAAATAAAGTATTGATCTACGTAATCAACGCTATGAACGAAAAATAAGTTCCGAGATAACATAGAAAACAAACTAAATATATAAAGGATATATCAGTCGATCGGGTACGGTGGTATTCGAAGCTCTAAGGCTATCTCTATTTCTTCTTCATATCTTTTTTTTTACATTTCTCTTTGTGAACAAGGATGATAAACCAAATATGACATAGCTAAATATTTGGAATATGAGATACCCTCAGAAAGATACATGAATTCTTACTTAAGAAAGAAAAAGAAAAAGCACTCTGTTAGTAGGTTAGGTCATATCGATATGTAAAGTAAAGATTTTTGTTTGATTAAAAGAGATATGCGACTTGAGTGAGGATGAAAAAATCTGAAAATATAAATTTAAATGAAACAAAATTATATATGAATAACAAGCATTTATTATTTCTTACTTTTGATGCATCCGATTGGCGTCATCTCGGTTTACGGTGAACATATCTAGATAACAGATCGAAATACAGAAATGAGGTTTGCCACACTTTCGACGGGTAGCCAAAGATTCAACTCAGCCAACGCTGATCTTACTCGAAGAATGAAAATTCATCAGTCTTATTTATTACTCTTATTCGTGAATTAATTAGTGAGCAGAAAAAAATTTAAGATGCTGCTTTTTATTTCCCAATTTATATAATTAATTGATTATTAGATCAATCGCGGCTGAAATTGAAGCTTCATGTGTCTACTGAAAATGCGTGAAACCAAACTTTTCTGCGTTCATCCATTCCAGATTATGAATCGTGGAGTTCGAGAAGATCCGTGCATCTCTCAAAAAACAATTGATACATTTTAAATTTTTATGTATGTACACCTGTTTTCGTTCGTCACATCCTATTAGAAGGAGAAACAGATGTCGCAGGACAGATATGTGCACATGATATTTTGTTTATTACTATTAAGAAATGATTAAGAAAGAGTTTATTAAATTAACAGTCCGCATCAAAAGATGATGCTATTGGTAACTTACGGTCTAACGTATCCTTGATTACTTTTATTATAATTCCCCATAGTTGATCGGGATCTATCTCCACGAAGCCAGGCTCTGGATAGATCAGATTTATCTAAATTTGAAAAAGTAAAGTTTTATTTGTATGTATTTTTATTTTATTATTTGTTTCATAATAACTTTGAAGTTCCAGCTTAACATTTGTTTTTACGTTCTTTTGAAGGAAAATATGAAGAAAAAGTTTTAAATTAAATATTTTAATTATTAACTCTTGGATTATAAATATTCTATTATTTTATAAAATAATGAAGCATTTCGTAAGGAGTTTGAGAAAGAAGATAATAAAAAAAAGGTGGACTATCAATCTACTTAGAAAACAAAATTGATTTTTAAAATGCATTATCGATTTTTAAATGCATTATAAATATAAACGAAAAATTATTGCAAATAATATAAATACAAAATAATAATAAATACGAAATGTTAGTAATAAGAAGACTTAACAAATATGTTGATGCGAACAGTTTCAATGAGAATTGATTCTACTTTTCTCTAGGTTTTATAAATATTGAATATATAACATTATATCGAATATAATATAATATTATAATTCTTTATGAGCCAAAGTATATATATTGCCACAGAATTATTTTTATAATGTGTGTGTGCAATTGCTTAATATTATTTACGCGTGCAGATTGCTGAAAATTATCTTTTTTTTATTTTTTAATAATAATGTTTATTTGCAAATTGCTATATTAGCTGCTCGAATAATTATGATTATACATAGATTCTGGAAAATTCCGCAATTGTGAAATAGAAAGTGTTCTCAGTGGTAATGGCCTTCATACTACTACTCTGAGATGTTCTATAGTATAGTTCTGTTATATCTGACTTTATTAATCCTTGCAGATCGAAGAAACACCTTTACACTGCAGTAATAACTGCATGAATTGTATGACCTTGAAAGCACTTTAATTTTCCTTTCGCTTCTTTCTGTACCTACAGTGTTGGATAATACTTTGTGCGCTTCTCGAGGGAAACTGTAATCTGTTTACTTTAAAAAGAATATATCTTTTCTGTGGCGGTACATGTGCATCTTTCATAAATCTATTTATACTTGGCATAGAATGTTATCATGTTTCAAGGTAATTCAGAGATAAATAGCAAGACTGTACCGCTTGGAATTACAGAGATAATATTCTTTTTCTGTTTCGAACAGGAAATAAATTCTGTTCGGGTAATGAATAAGTATTACGTCATTGCACAGATATTCATTACAAATTCATCGAAAAAGACATCGTTATTGCTCCGCAGTTAAAAAAAAAGTTGCTATTCATTTATCACGCGACGTATGCAAAACGTCGTGCATAACAACGTACAAAAACCGAGATTAAAATTAAGAGAGATAAAAATAACCAACTACATTTATTCATTTCTTATTTCGCAAATTACAGAAAAGCATAAAATTAAATATGTCATGTTAGTATTAATTTCAATTTATTATAATTTTATTTCAGCGCATTTTATTAGAACAATAAAATAGTCTTTTACTAACTTTCTAATAATGTGAAATACAACATTTTACGGAAATATATTTTATCAGAGAATAACGGTGAGAGAAAGAGAAAGAGAGAACAACAAATCTATAATAATGATATCAGATATATTGGTAATATCGAATTTTTTCAGTGATATCTTCTGGATCTTTTTTTCTTATCTTTCTTAATCTCTCGTAGGATTAAAAAATTGTATACATTACTATAATTAGCTTCAATTTTATTCACCATACGAAATATTTAAATTACATACTCAAATACAAATACAATTACAAATTCCAATTCCATTATCATCCGAGTTTTTTATATAAGGAATTAATCGCAACAAACCTTTTCCGTCGAAGAAGCTACCGTGATCGCCTTCTCATTCAGGATGTGAAAACGCACCGTAGTGGTGCCAACATCGAGTGCCGCGACGTATCTCATGATAATGTTCCTTTTCAGCAGATTCAAAAATTCCACTTTGATTTAAGACGAATGTTTTATCCACGTATTCACGCATTCACACTCAATCCGGTTGTGATCTTGAACTGTTGGATCGCGACGCCTAGTACCGACTGGTATCGATTAATATTCTCTATGGAGCTCTTACCTCGAATGTCATACAACAACAAGAAGGAGAACGTTATACACTCAATGAGAAAAAAAAGATTAATGAGTCGCCAGCAGCAATCAACTAGAATCGAAGTACACGTTAAAGCACGTTCGCTTATCGTGACTCGACCGCGTTTTCACACATGGCTTGGTAGGAAGTTTTATCGGGACTATATGCTGCGTCATATAATGAAGCAATGAACTCCCGGCTTGTTTCTCGCCGGCAGCATGGAACGAGTAGGGCACGTTGCAGATTATTGGAACGAGTGTACCGCGTCGGGTCTTCTAGATTATGGCTGAAACACGCTGCTTAGGCCTGTTCTACAACGCGTCGTATGTCGCTGTCGAGTGTCGGAACGCAGCCGATGGTCCAATGAGAGAATTTCTTTTTCGAAAACGAATTCTCCTCATTGAACCATACGTTCCGACAACTGATTGTATTAGAACAGGATACGTATTGTGGAACTTTTCGGAATAGATTCCGATGGGAATTGTTTCCGAAAAATTTCATAATACGTGCCCAGGCCTATCGCTAAAGTCGCTTCATTCATTTTCCGTCACGCGAATTTAATCGATGATCGGACTATCAAAGGTCACAGTTACTGCGGCTATAGCGTTCACTATATGGTCGCGATCAATGGGTCTGTTTTCTATTGCTGAACTGGCTGCGCTAGTTCAGAGTTTATCTTTTTTACTCCACATTGGAAGGAAAAAGATTAACTCTGAACTAGTGCAGCCAGTTCAGCAATAGAAAACAAACCCATTGTATCACTAGAAGAATTCTGTAATTCCAGAACATTTGAAAACATTTCTTCTAAAAACTTTATTTTATAATATTCTTACAACGTAATAATGATTTTATACTGATCAATCTGAAATTTAGGAAGCATAATCATCATCTAGTTATGGACTGGTTAACCTTTTTGGATACGATGCAATCTTCGTTTTTAGTTTTTTTATTAAGCAATAAAATCTCATTCTAAAATTAATTTCCAATTCAAGATTAATTTATCTTTAAAGATATAAGCTTTAAAGACGAATGCTAAAAACTTGCAAATTAAATCAAATTAAATATCAAGGGAAATATGAGAACCTGTGATATTTTATACAGTGGCAGCTGTTACGTTTTAAAAATAATGTCTACAGTGATCAGTTTAATTCACCGTTTGATTACTTAATCTTTAATTGTCACATGTCCATTATTCCGAGAAATACGAGATGACATTACATGAAATGATATTATTATATGTTACGAGCACGCTATCAAGAGACACGGCAGTGTCTCGCGCCAATATAATTGACATGACAAGTTTACTTCTTGTGTGAGCGAAATTGAAGAAAATTTGAAGATTGTATCTGTTTTTTAATAAGGCGCTTTTGATTAATATAAAAAAACGTTATCTTCATTATTTTTTTATCATATACTGTACATGTATTAAAACCAGTATATATTAAGATAACGAAGGCATTATACTTTATATTTAATAGATGATAAAATAATGAAATAGATAATTATTATCAAGCGACGTGATAGCGTCACAAAATCAAGTATAAATAAATAGAGCAACCATGTGACTACGTCATAGCATAAACATCGAGACGTTACTTTAAGCTTATTATTCTTTATGTGAATGTCAAAGTTTTCAAATAAAATATATTAAGTCTTGTATCCACGATGCTAGAAATCGGTCTAAGATTTTGGACGGAGAAGAATCAATCACATTTGAACAATTCGGCTAATTGACCAATGTGATTGATCAATTCTTTCTCTGTCCAAGATCTCGGATTTCTAGTATGGATCTAAACTTGCATTCAAAAATCTAAAGGCACTTTTCTTATATAATGTCAACGTAAGCTTTCAATTACGATCAGTGCGAGTAAAATCAGTGTAATGAATTTCGAGATCTCAAGATCTATTACGCAAAAGTAACATTTCTTCAGATTTCAGTCATACGTATGCACATATTTATGATTTTGTCCTTCAAGGGACTTTTACAATATATCTACATACAATATTATTTAAGTTATACAATGTAAGTGAATACTGATACGTATACACGAATAATAATTTCTGATGTTGCAGATGAGACTAACCGGCAGAGAGGAAGAGAGGGCAAGGAAAAAGGAAAAGAGGAAGAGAGAAGAGGAAAAAAGAGGGAGAGGGAGGTAAAGAGAGAGAGAGAGAGAAAACGAGAGAACGAGAGAGCGAGCGAGAGAGTACGCATGCATACACACACACACACACACACACACACACACACACACACACACACAGAGCTCGCGTTTACTCACGCTCAAATAAACATACAAATTGATAGAGCATTCAGAAGACGAATTGATTATCAAGCAATAAAATGTGCTGCTGGTCGTGGTACATCGTTTGTTTTAATTAAAATCAAAACAAATGAGATGGAATCAAAGATAAAAGATTATATACTAAATACTTGTATAAACTGATTAATGCAATCTTTCATAATGGGGAAAATATATAACTAATGGATATTGTTCAAATGTAGTAAGTATTCTAAAAACACAGAATGAGTATTAATGATTTTTAGAAGTGAAGAAATGCAATTAGCCACAAAATGTTAGGAATTAAAATACTAAAAATATTGAAATAGTTTTTTTATTTTTATTAAAAAATTAATATTTTATAAAAAAAACTTATAAAAATGAAAAACGTATGCTAAGTATATAAAAAAATATTTAAAAGTGTATAATATATGTCTTTAAATAAAAAATTAATTGCTTAAAAATGTATATGAAATCAATCTTATTAGTCAAGTATTAAGCAAACTTAACAAAAAATTTATGAAGATATTACATATATGTATGTATAATCAGTAGAGTTTTATTTTCTCTGTAATTTTATTTTGATTTCAAATTTTACTCGAAATTTCTGAGTTGTAGAAATTTAAAATCACAGCAAAAGCATAAAAACTTAGCATGCCTGAATCGCATTTCGATATATATCTATGCTTACATTTTTACAAACATGTTTACTGATAATGAGTGATAATTGGTAAGCGATTAATTTACGGTTTCCTTGCTTTAATCATAAAAATTTGGATGTAAAGCCAAATATTTGTGCGATTTGCAAAAATTCTAGTTGTTTTATAAAGACTTCAAAAGACCCCTTGCTGTGTTTTCAAAAAAATTTAGACAATTAACACTCAAAGCAATAAAAGTAAAAATTAAAAACTTTAAAATATCTTTTAATTTTTGTTTGAAAATGTTTATCTAAAAATTTAAAAATATATTGTCCATGTGCAATTCCATTATTTCATTTTATTTACGAACTATTGTAGGTATCGAATGTGTCGTAATTTTGTACGCTTCTATTTTCTGCCGTTGCATCATGATTAGGTATCCGTCATGATATAAAAATACAAGGTATATCAATATCATCAGGATGCGCAGTAGCCGACCAATGACATTTGGATCCAAATGCTATGTATGTAATGTTTTGCGGATGTGTGTGTGTGTGTATATTTGGACCCAAATTTCATTGTGGTTGCCGTCGCGTCAACATGCGCAATGATATTGATATACCTGTCTTCTTAACATGGTACCCGTTGCGTTATGCATCATAATTAGGTTTGCGTGTAATTAATTGCAAGTGTCGCACAAAGTATGACATAACCGCGTGATCGTTGTATTCTAGTAATTATAACTCGTCAATAATCACGCTTAATTTTAACCAACAATTTACTTGTTTTAACGAACTTAACCAACAGATGTTGCTCGAATGCCACGAAGAAATAGCAATAAAGAAGCAAATAAGAAAAGAGAGAAGGAAAAGACTACAGAGTTCTCGTTATTCTTTTTGGATTATATTATTGGATTGGATTGATATTATTATAGAGTCGATAACAAGAGAGATCGTAGGAAATTATGCGGAAGAAGAATAACAGAGGCATTGCGTAATGAAATGGGAGACATAAATAATGAGACAAAGGGTAACAAGGGTCAGAGTGGTACGAAGGAAGCTAATAGGGGTTAAGTTTAGCAACGAGGAAGCGAATAATGGAGACCGATGATAATGATGTACAGGATATGATACATACATACATGTCATATGAAATGCATACAGATCAATACCACGGGTTTCTACGTAAATAAATCTTTCTAATTTACCGTAATAAAAATTAACATTTTAAATAAAATGTAATTAAAAAAGCAAGTTGAAATTAATGATAAAATGTATATATTCATATTTATAAAAAGATAAATACCGGCTGCGAAAAAATTTATCTAAGGCTAAAAATTTGGTGCAAAATTGATTATTGGTAAAAATAGCTGTAATACGAGATGCGTCCAGAAAGAAAGCTTAGATTGGCTGTAAATAAAAATTTTTATTTTATATCAAAGCAATTTAAAACAATTTGGATCCTTATTTGCATATTTTAACGTTTCTCTTTTTCAAAATTTGGAGACTTTATGATATGAGAATTTTGATCATTATTATCTTGTTCCGTAACGTATAAATATTTTTGCTGATTATTATCGTAATGTGTTTTGCTGCAGTATACATCATCAAATATACAAATCACAGTCGTAAGTATTGCCATACCAGCAAAGATTATCCACATAATCAGCTCTAACGTCACCTGCAAAAAAATATAAGTTTAAAATTAATTTAAAAAATATATATGTAATATAATATATATAAATAATAAACAGATTATAAAGAAAATTTTTTTAATCAGAAAATTGTTGTTAAATGTTTGACTTTTTAATATCCAAAATATTAAATAATTATCAAACCTTACTTCAACGACTGTCCTTACGATTGTTATTATATATGGTCTTTCAGAAATCCATTCCCAAACCATGAATGGTAATAACACGAGAAACAATAATGAGTCGAGTACATGTATGACAATTATGGAAACAATTTTGTTTAGTTCGAACACAGTCCATACTTTTTTATACATGCTGATATGTGATATGCAGACAAAATGTATAAGTTAGTTGTATCTTAAATATATGTATATATATTTACAATACATTCTTAATATTTAAGTTCTTAATATATCATAACGAGTCTGATTACAACTTAATGTTTAATAAATATAAGAGATATATTTATATTCTCGCGTTATATGTACATGTAAAAATACGAGGAAAAGTTAATACATAAATTAAACACATAGTCAACAAATTGAATGTTCTACTTACTTGGTTTCTTAATTTCACATTTCTTAAGAAAATTATTTTTTACGTATTGTATTTTTATGCTGCGTTTGCTTTTTATGTTTATACAAATAGATTTTGAAATCTAACCTGTATCATTAAATGATGATCAAAACATTAGAATTACTTTAAAGCATTTTGCAAGACAGTCTTTTTTTAAAATAACATGATTAATTGTTATCTATTATAAATTTAGAGAATATTATCAAGTGTATTATGAAAAGAAAATTATAACACGTGCGATTTATATATCCATTCAGTACACAGCTGTCAATTAACAAATTTGTCATCAATGGTTAAACACCAGAATTTACAACTTCACACGACTCTAATTTGTATTAATCGATCTTTTAAGCACGTTTATATAACCTGTCTTCACCCTAATTAAATAAAACATTTATTTGACTAGATATCACAATCACAGACGCGCGCGCTATTTAGCTTTAATATTATACTGTTACTATTACACTATACTATTACACCCCTTAAATCCTTTATACATATATATAAATTAAAATAAAAAATTTTTAATTTAAAGTTTAAAATTTTAAATATCCTCTGATATATCAGACCTTGTTTTTATTACATCCGATAAAAACAGATCAAATTATAGAGGCCCACCACCACCCCCGCCGATTCCGATCGGCGGTCCTCTTTTATTTACAATACATTTTTTTACATTTTTATTATTTATTTTATTTCTCCTACAATTTATTTTTCAACATTATATAATATATACAACATTATAAAAGAGTTACATTATAAAATTGAAAATATAACGTACAATAAAATTATTTACAATATTTCTTTTTGACATAAAATTACATATGCAACATTCAGTATGCGTACAATAACACAAAATTTTCACGATTAAAATATGTGATTATTAACATTTCTTATTAATTATTGAATTACAATTTCAAAATTTATTTTATTTTATTTTATTTATGTGAGCAACACTAGGATCAAAAAGATCCTAGTGTTCTGACTAAATGCGTTCAACTGATTACTATTTTTTAAATTAAAATATTTAAATATTTAAATTAAATATATGACATACTAAATCTAACATTAAATTTAATTTGATTTAAATATTTGAATACTTCAATTTAAAAATACTTATAAGTTGAATGCATTTAGTCAAGTTAGTATGCAGATCTAGTATGCAGTGTGCCTATCCGTATTCCGATGTATTATAGTCGTACCATTTCCCTACCTACCCGTATTACAATCTAATATAAATCTAATACCGCAACGCGATTTATAAGGGACCTGATTGGGGGTTTTAACACGCGCGCGATTGTGTGGGATTTAATTGGGATTTTTCCAACCTCACTTGTATGCGAGGACATATAAAGAAAGTAGCCCTCCTTTGGGTAATTTAACAGATATATCGAATCATTTTGTACACACATAAAACTAATCATTCTACAGCCAAGGAAAGCACTTATTTATTTTATATTATTTCTTTTAAGTAAGTTTTTTTACAACAAATAGTATTTTCTTACTAATGGTTTTCAAATATCTTGACACAAGTCTTTGAAAATCAGAATATTGTTTTGAGTAAATGTAATACTTACAATGACTTTATGGTAGATTTACGGATTAAGTATTTGATAAGATTAAAGTATCCGCAAATCTACCATAAAGTCATTGTAAGTATTACATTCACTAAAAAACAATATTCTAGATTTTTAAAGACTTGTGTCAAGATATTTGAAATTATTAGTAAGAAAATATTATTTGTTGTAAAAAAACTAACTTAAAAGAAATAAAATAAAATAAGTAAGTGTTTTCCTTGGCTGTAGAATGATTATTTTTCTCTGTGTATGTTACCTTATGTATTGTGGTCAATTGTGGTCAATGTTGACCTTTATCGTAACCAATCTTCTTTCTTCGGGCCAGATCGGACCTACCTTTGTCTCCTGGCCATGTACAATCTGGTCGCATTTCGACCAGGTCAATAGGAAGGAAAAAATACCTTCCATTGTTGGATCAGTATCATGATCAAAAGATAACATTACGTTCGGTTCGGATTATATGCGAGTTGGCGAACATCGATGCCATCGATTGTATCGAAAAATGCACACCGAGAAGTTAATTTACAAAATAATATCAATTCATAAAAATTAACTGTACAACATTGATAAAAAATATTGCTATCACTAGTTCAATTATGTGCGTGAGAATACGGATTGACCATTTCTTTGTGACCTGTTCTCTTAATTTGGAATTGTAATTAACTATATGACAAATTTTACTTCGCGTTATATGAATATTAATCTCAATTATATTCCGCGAAAAATTGAAATTTATAATGTGGATGAAATTAAAAAATTAAATAATGGAAAATTTCTTGATGCAAAAACCGACCGCGAAAATATGAAGAATTACGTGCGTAATTGTGCACGTTTGCTTATGCGGTACACATCTTGAAAATGTATCAAGTAAGATATATAATACAGAATAAATGACGTGAGATCCAAAAAAAACTTCTCGCACAATTGGTATTATAATTAGATATTACAATTAATGAATAATCGCGTTGTTATAATTGAATAATATATGCAAATTTTTATAAACTTTTATATCGATATAAATGTGTCTCGTCATATTTTTCATTTTTTATATCAAAATTATTTTTGATATATTCATATATATTACTTCAAAATAGAATATATAATTGTACTATATGGTCAATTCTAAAGTAATTTAAAAAGTTTCAGCGTTTTTCGACAGAATATTTACAATCTCACGTCATACATATATATTATTTCACTGGCATAAAGCCAATTTCTCAATAATAGTACCTAGATGAATAGGCTACAAAAAATTAAGGTAAAATCGGTGCTTTGTTAAAATAAATTTTAGTAATTAATAACCATTATCGCGCTTTTTATAAAATAAATTGCATATTAAAATTGAAATATTTCTTACCCTTTTTATTCATTATATATCTATATATAGTTTTTTTTGCATCGATTTATATAATATTTAATCTTGGATAAATATGGAAAAGAATAGATGGGTATAAATAACACATCCTAACTAATTAATAATTTTTCCCTATCTACAAAGATATTTTTTTTTTATAACACTTAACACGACAAAAATATTACTTTTATACACTATTTTATTTTTATCTTTTTTGTTCAAAAAAAATATAAAAATAATTTTATTAAAAAATCTAAATAAAAAATGTATATTTTTAAAATTATTACTTTAGTTATAAATAGAATTAATTTACGTAACAAAAATTTCGAAAATTTAATTTATCATGTATTTTACTTATTAAAATTTACGAAATAAAATTCTGATTCAATAACATATTTTGTTATATATTTTATCCAACATTTAAAATTTTATTTAAAAATTATTTACATAGAACGCGACGGTTCGTCAACATAATTGAATAAACGATAATACAAGTTTTTTACGAGCTCGGTGTGTGCGAAGTGTGCGAGCATATTTCCTCAAGCACAATCGCAAAAATACATCAATAAACAAACAGGTGACACCAAGATTAAATATTTGCCTTGCCATAATTAGTTTTAGCCCATCCATTTTAAGGCAACGAATCTACGAGATGTAATAAATTTATACTATAATTTATTGTCATAATTTGGCATTTATCGAGATACATTTGCTCTATATTTATTTAATCGTAGATTCGTTACCTCAATCAAATAAAAAAAAATTCTGACTTACCAACCCGATGCGCAACAGGCGGAGTTACTCAGCCACGTAGCTACGATAATACTGTAACATACAAACATAAGATTCAAATTAAAGAAGCGCTCAAACTAATCAACATTTCAAAAAATAATTCTTACACGTACTTTAATTTGTCTTTCAATAAAATATTTAGCAATACAATTATCTTTACCGAAAAAGATCTTTACAAGAATAAAATTTTAGATAATTTATCTTTCTTTAATTATTTTTAACTTATCAAGATAAAATAATTCAAATTATGAATGGAAAAGAATTATTAATTTTATATGTAGCTAAGAGATGATACTTACCCCAAGGTTGCTCCGCCGATGCCCGATGTCTCTCTCGAACCTCCTCCTCCTCTCAGGACGTCAGGTTTCTCCTCCTCCTCCTCCTCTCACCGCACAGGTTGCACTCGCGAGAAACACTCGCGGATAATAAATTAAAAAATTACAATTGCGCGCGGACTAATTATCAGTAAAAGTCTTTCACGCACGATACTGGTACGACACTCCCGTTTATAGAGCCCATTCGAATGGACTTTGAAAAAGTCCTTTAGTCCGAATACTTATAGCGACACTCCCGAAGCAAACGCGACGAACCGGCTGCGGTTCGTTTGTTTAAGTAAATCGGCGGACGAAAGGGTACGTTAGCTTCCCCGTGTTTAGATTTTTATCCAAGCAGAACGAACAGTTTTGCTTGGGTAAAATCCTCGTACTGGGTACTGGGCCTTCCCACCTCGCCAAGGTCGTACCCATGGGAAGCAAGTGCAGTTCCGTGAAAATTTGAAGAGAATCGCGACGCCGATTGCCCTGATTCGTTCCGCGTTCATCACCGCGTTAACGACGACGAAATGTTCGAAGACGTCGGTATAAACCTGGCGCGACACTACACTACGCGAATCAAGTGAACGCGGCCCGTAAAGACACGCCAGTTGATTAATCAAAAATACAATTAAAATTAAATATCGCACGCACAGTACGGGATCGAGCACGATACATCTCGCGAATGTAAACCCGCATTTAATACCTTGCACAACGAGAAGTCGCGGATCGTTGACTTATACGCGGCACGAAATACACGAAAATAAGAAATATTAACGAACGGGCGTTGCATCACGACGGCATATGCTATCACTCGAATCACTCGATACGATTTTACGTTGTCACTCGGCCCTCTTTTCCCCCTTCGAAGAGAATCGGAGATAGAGATCGCACTACAATTCCGACACAGCGTTCAAAGCACGACACTATTCGAGAGTTCAGGATACATGGCGAGACGAACGATTATCGCCCGCGATGCCCGCGAATGCACAACGAAACTGCAAAAATCACTCACATTTGTCGACTGTCATCGTATCTTCGCCTCGACGTCTCCGTTTCGAGCGAGCGATTCGCACGGCACATTCGTTATTCGTTCCGACAGACACTTGATTACACTCGCGAATTCTTGAGCGCGTCGACGCGGTCGATGTCGATACTTCCCGCAAAACGAGGAGCAGGAGTGCCAATCGCACGAAGCAGCACGTTCCGAAACACACAGCACCCATCACAGCACGGAGCACGGCGCGGGCGACCGGGCACGCGCGGAGCACGGACACTTATTCACAACTCTGTTATGAAATTTATCGGGAGAATAATCGAATGATTTCCGCGGGTGTTCCGGAGCGTCGAAGAAAACAAGCGGCAAGGCCGCACGCCGACTTCGAAGGTACGCTGGTCTCAAGTTCAACGGTCGCGCCTAGTACGTACGCCGTCGTATGGTGTGTCTGGTATGCCGCCGCGCCGGCGGCTCGGAGCGGCGGACCGTGATTGGCCGGATCCTCGACTCGCGAGCCAATCACGCTCGACGTCTCATCCGACTGTGCGGTAATGCTAGGTCTACAATGCGAGTCGTAAAGTCGTGAGTCGTAAGAATTGACCAATCACAGTCGATTATTTTCCTCAAATTCGATTGTGATTGGTCAATTCTTACGACTCACGACTTTACGACTCGCATTGTAGACCTAGCATAACAGTGGCGCGCGCAACGCAACTACTACGGCTACTACGTGACACGTTGAACGACGCGACGGTGCGAGGTGCGAGACGTTGTCGCTCGTGTAATTTCTCTCTCTTGAACGAAAAGATATCCGGTTACGGAGTGTGTTGCAAGCTGAATGTACGCCGAATATTCCGTTCCTCTTGTGTCGAGTGCAACGAGTGGGATGCCGTCGCTGGGTGAAATGAACGCCGAATGCCGTGCTGGACTGGATGCCGCCGCGACGCGCCGGCGCCGCGGCGCGGGCGCCGTACGTATCAACCCTCCCGGCTGCGATTTGACGGATCTCCGTGCAATACACCGTGATCGGTGAGTGAATTATTGTGCATGAGAAATAAATGTTTCGAAGCGCGATACATCCGAATCTTGATAGAATCGTTGTTCCGCCTGGCGCGTGGGATATAAAACCTCGGATATCGCGTCTCCGTTTCGCCTCTCAGTTTCGATTTCTACTCCGCGAATAAGTGAATCGCGCGGGAAGACGCGTCAATGAATAGCTTTGAACCTCTCGTTAAGCACATGAATTAATAATCAATTAAGTGATTGAAGGGAACGATCGCGCTTTGGCGTTCCTCGCTTTGCTGTCACGATCGCGAACGAGAAAGTGAGCTTAATTGCTTCAAAATGCGTATGAACGTCGAGAGTGCGAGTTAACAAGCTCAAATGTGCGTCTACAAATACAATTCCGTTTTTTGTTAAGGCACGTAATTCGTTCGTTCACGTAACTTGTAAATGTTTCAAATTTATTTGCACGTGTGCTTCTTTTATTCCTCATAATCTTTACTTTACAGAAAACGTTAAATTACGTTAAATTGTGTAATTTTTATTTTTAAATTTCTTTGCCCATCGTACGTGATCGCGCATACTATAAAAAAAAACGTTGAACCGTCACCGCCAAGATACTTGAAAATTATAAAACATTCTCTGTTGCTTGCGTTTTGCTTACAAAATTTTCCATAAACGGAGCCTATTGCTTCGTATTTCGTGCTCTTATCTTGCAGATTTATTAGCAAGAAAAAGAAAGAACATTGTCAATTCGATCGCGACGCTAATGGAATTATTGCTACGAAATTTCTGACAGATAATACACTGTACAGTACGTTACAAACTCCTAGTTGATAGAATTTAACATTAACTATAGACACTACAAAGCGCGTGCCATTTATTCTCAACTATTATACATTTTTAATAACATGTATCAAATTTAATGTTTACATTTATTTGACATCACTCATCAAGATAACTTGAATAAAATCAATCAACCTGTCGTTTATGAGTTTTTAAAATATGATTCTCGCGCTGACAGTTACTCTCGCAGTACGAATTGAGCCAAACGAGAGAATCAGTCGCGGAAAAGCGGCTACAATTCAATCTCTTAAGCGGGGGGAGCATAGTCTTTTGCATAATGCATAATGCATAAGCATAAGAAAATAATGGATTCGTCAATTTTCTTATGCAAATGTATATGGACCAATCAATTTTCTTATGCTTATGCATTATGCGTTATGCAAAAGTCTGTGTTTCGGTCTTTATATGCCTTCTTCAAAAATTGGATAATATTTGAAGTTATATAAAAGAGAATTAACTCCGTAAATAAGAAAATGCCTGTGTGATGTACAAAATTTATTTATTTAATAGCGCTCTAAATTCAGCAATAACATTTAATGCGTAAGTCTACAAACACAAATCAGAATATTATTATCTAAAATTAAAATACTTTTTGGCATCGTGCATAAAGAATAAGGTCATGGTTTCAGCCTAATGCATAAATGCAAAATATTACTTGTCAAATTTATCGCTTCAAATATTTAGGCCATATCTTATTACTCTAGTGATGTGCAACAAGCATTACTACATTGATAGTTAAATGTAATTATTTAAGCATAGTCGATGATACAAAGACTCAATAATACATAAAATTAGAAATCTAGATATTTTAAAACAGTTCAAAGATAGAGTAAAATCGAAGTAAAATAAAAATTTTTTTGAAAATAAAAATTTGACTTTAAAATATCAAATATTAATTATCTAAAAAGTTTATAAAAATTCTTTAAGTAAATCTAAAAGAGTGAGATTTTTTAAGACATTTTTAGGACCTTCTTTACGAATTTGTTATCAAGAAATAAGAATTTGCTAAATTTATTAGTCTAAATCTAATTAGTTTAGCTTCTACAGAATGAAGAATATATCGATATTCACGTTCTTTCTCGATAAAATCAGTAAGTTACTTGTCGATGATAACAAGGTTGATGTGTCGCATGCCGGTGATTTCTATGTACTACGTTCCTCGCATGCTTTTGTCGTTCTCTAGCAGCTACTTGTTGTCTGTAGACGAAGAGCGGTCTGAAAACCTTGGCATCTTGTGCCTCCATATCTTCCGCCTCGCTAGCAACCTTCTCTTCGACCTTATTCTCAGATCCCGTACGAACAGACCTTCTTATTCTAACACTTTCGTTTTCTGATCCTAACTTAGCTGATTGACGATCTGTGCTTGACAATGGCAGTCTTTCTATAAAGCCATTAGTCGCCACCTTATTCTTCGGTATTCCATAAGCTTCCACCTACAAAAAATACAGCTTTCAGCATATGTGTTTTGGCTATTACACACATATATATATATATATATATATATATATATATATATATATATATATATATATATATATATATAAAATACATTGTTTCATAAGTTTTTTAAACGTAATTTACTTAATGACTTGAATCGACAATGTAATTGTAATTAATGAAATATAATATGATAGCACAATTATAGAAATTATTAACTTAGATTTCTTTTTAACTATTATTATTTATTAAACTTAACATAACTTTTCAATATAATATGTGTCTTATATTCTGTTATAAATCTATATTTTAAATACTAATGAAATAATAAGATGAAAGATTAAAAAAATTTGAATCTCGTATATGCACACAGAAATATATTATGCTAATTAAAAGACAATATTTACCAATCGACCACTTTTCGAGGTCTCATCAATGTGATCATTTCCAAGTTGCAATCTTTCGATTATACCGTTATCTTGTAGATGTTTTTTCGGAAGACCGTACGCGTGAATGCCCGGTTTATCTTCCTCATCGGAATCCGAATGGATCCCTCGCACTTTACCGTCCAATCCAATTTGATTGTGGATTTGTACCCGCTTGATGTACCTCTCGTCATCTGGAGATTTGCGTGATTGCGTGTAATCTAGTTGATCGATTGATCGATCGGTGGAATTTAATATAACGTTATTTGTGCGCTGTCGAGCTCGCGCGCTGCTCCAATTCAGCGAGACAGCCAACAAAAAGAGCTGAAAACATTAATTAATAGTAATATTTATGTAATTTGCTATTAACTATTTGTGAGAATGTTAATTTTGACAGTGTTCTTATCTTTGAACAGAGATTACAATATTGTACGAGTAAAAATGCCTTTCTATTTTATTTGAAAAAAGAGAACAGATAGAAAGTGATATCAATAAATGTATACATATTTATTATGTTAAGTTAAAAAAGCAATTAGGTCTTTTTAAATTCTCTCGAGGGCATAATCTCTGCCCTCGAGAGAACGACATATAAATGTTATCTTTTGTGGCCTACCGCATGACAGTTTTAATCATGCCTTAATAAAAACGCGGAAGATTACGTGTTTCCTTAAGCGAATTGCTCCAATGCCATTTATACAGTCGGAATAAAAAATATCATTTCCACGAGCTCACAGAAAATCACTTGACGAGATTTAATGATTTTCCTGTTTGTTCTGTGTTTTAGTATCTGTTAAGAAAAATAATAAAATGGAATTTCATTCATTTTTACGGCTTTCACTTTTAACGATGATTGACGAAGATATTTTATGATATGACACTTCTTTCGTTGTTATCAACTAAAGCGAATAAAGAAACTATTTAAAAACTTTACGCAAGCAAAGAGAAAATTAAAATAAAGCTTTAATAAAAAATAATAATTTAAGATGTATAATTAATAAAAGCAGTAAAACCAAAAGGAGACATTGTCGAAAGATATCGAAATTAATATTATTTGTCATTTTATTATCATATTTTTATTTTATCTGATTATTATATTTAATTACAATGATTGATCTAATTAGACAAATCTATTGCATTCTTGGTACCAAATACAGCATTACACAGTTATATCTTTAAATAATAGTTATTTTTTTAAGAATAGTTTTGCAAAATTGGCTGTTAACTTTATAAGTTAACTTATATATCTTTATTATATTTTTACTATTATTTTTTATTATAGTTTAATTTTATCTTTTAACATAATAATTTGTATTAAATTATATTATGTAAACTATGTAAAGTTAAGCAGTAAAGAAAGAAATAAAAAAGCGAGAAAAAAGTTATTACGTATTGTAACAATAATTTTTTTTTATTGTTGTAAGTATTATTACATCAATAATTACAATCTGATGCATCATATGAAAAATATTCTGAATAATGTCCAATCAAAGAAGAAAAATACTGATGAAGATAGAGTTTGGAAAATTAGATTAATGTTAGATAAATTATGTTATCCTTGTTTCTTACCGTTAATGTCAATCTCATCGTACACCAGTGCTTCCTTTCTTCCTATCGCGAATGTTCTGATTGCGGCTTGCTTTCCAGTTCTTACTCGGACTCTTTGGTTGCGTTTGAGGGGAAAGATCGACCGCGCATCGGTTATATACGTAAGCCGTCTGCGATCTCGAAGAACGCAATTAAGTTAGTCTCACACGGGAGTTTGCGATATGCATATTCGTTGTAGAGCGAGAGCAGTCTTGTTCCCGGTAAAAATCCCGCCACTGCGAGACTGCAGTGAGTCACCTTCGTAAACGAACCGCGCGAATGGGTGAAGAGACTCGAAAATTTATGGTGCTCCTTTTGCAACCCGAGATGAACATGGGTGAAAGCCCTCAATGGAAAAAAGTTGTCGGAAGAAGGGGAAAGGAGAACAGACTTTCGACTATTTCTGCGAAGTAATAGTTTCAGGATGTTCTGATTTATAAGATTTATTTATGCAAATCTAATATTAATAATCAACTAAGAAACATGTTATGTTATATCTCAGATTGATTTTTTTAATGAAAAAATTATGAAATGGGCTATATATTATAATATAAACATGACAATAGAAGTAATAACTTTAATTTAATATAATATACTATATTAAAAATTAGATTCATAAGTTTTGTACTATTTTAAAAATGAAACACCGTTATTGAGAACTCAAGAGATTTCTTTAATTTATTATGAAATTCAATTTGTCATTTCGTGATGATACGAATACCGGAACTATTTCTAACGTAAACTAAGAATCCGGCATTCCGTTGATGGTTCACGTGAATTTAGCTAGTGTTAAACACCTATTCATTGATCGCTAAACATTTGCACATACGACTCACACGTGTTGCACATGTAACCGGTTTTCCCACTCTTCTATAGTGATGTTGACAGTGTTTCTCATTTAAAAATAGTTCTATTATAAAGACATGAACACATGGTTTTTTTGCAACATTAAAATTTGCACCTTGGCATATCCGCAGTAATAAATCGATATCAAAAATATTTAATCGAAATTTATTAGTTAAATAGGACAATAAAAACTTAGCACAAAATAAACAGATTTTTTTATGTCGCATTTCTAATACATTTGCTTCAAGTGCTTCGTGGTAAAATACACATATAGAGAATTACGCAATAAGATTTTTATTGTGACTTAAAAAAATATGTTAACTTTCTCATAAATATTCTCAAAAACTAACCAGTGAAAAAATCTAAAAAAAACTACATGCTGATATTATTTATAAGAGTTTAGGTTTTGAATTTTATACAATTTTCAACATTTCTAATTCTTCTTACAATTTCTTTAGTAAAAGGATGAAAAAAATATTTGCAATTATTTCATTTTATATGAGCGTTTTCTTCTGTAGGGTATAAAAAATAATCAAGTCTGTTTTGTACTTTGCACCATCAACATTTTATATTCAAACGATGTTTTATGTTTAAATTTTAATTAAAGTCATTATCGGGATATGACGAACGCATTTATTACGCTAATCAAGAAGAGACAACCGCTGTCTTGCGTCGCATGAATGGATTATTAGATGAAAGAGCGAGTGACTAACTGTTTCGCCCCGAGGGTCTTAATAATAACACGTTTACTACAGACGGCAGTAATTTCTACCGTATTCCCAGTAAGTATGTCAATTCCTAGTATTCCTAGTAAGTATCAATAATTGTTCAAATGATTCGCCTAACAAGAGCACACTTGACTAACATTTGCAGTTTTATTGTCGTCTAATGTAAAGGGATTTACTGATGTGTATTGTACACAAAAAAAGAATCTTTCTATTACAAACATTTTCTCCAAAGTTATGCGTTTAATATTAAATAGATTTAAAATGTTGATGTAAATAATTCATGAAATTTTAATTGAATAAAGTTGTTATAATTATAGATGAAGATGTCATTGAAAGAAACATATAACAACTCGCTATTATTACAAAGCAATGCTTTATTTTGATTATGAAATTAATTGCAACAATAGTAATTCGTCATAGAAAGCACAGTTTAATAAGTTAACATTTTTTGTTAAACATTTTTCGCTTATTATAGATTATTCTATTATTACTTTAGTCTGCAGTTCCATCACAGTAATAAGATTCAAATATTATAATTATGCATACATATCCTACTTTTTATGTATATACGGGGCTACTTTTGAAAGGAGCACATACACTGGTTTTCATTTTTCTTATGAAAATAGTTGAAAGATATTAACCTGCATTCACGAATATTTTTCAAGGCAGAATACATTTTCTGTATACAGACTTCCTTCATATTCCGCCTTGGAATATATGTCTGCGCGCTTTATATATGCCACTTTGGAGATAAACGATCTCTAAATCTCTCGATATACGATCCAGTAAATGTTAAATTAATTCCAAAACTTCCGCTTTTAGCGGTAAATTCGCAACCATGTAACATATACACACTTTCTATCCTGAAGATTTCATATGTAATGTGAGAAAACGTGTTTATATCTGAGGGACTGCCAATAATATTCTCCGCAAATGTCAAGTTTAACTCTGAATATGACGCATAACTGAGTTGCGTGTCAATTAAAATCGATTATAACAGATAATTATATGCGATTGCTCACTTAAATATTTCATCGTTCATCATAAAGATATTTGGAAGGAAGGAAAGAATTAAATGGCAAAGCATAAAACTAGCTAGTTTCTGAAATATAACTTATTTCACTTAATTTACTGTTTATTTGATAATTGCTTAATTATATAATTATGTCGGTATATTATTAATATTATATAATTTATTTATTAACTCATTGTCAGACATTAGTCTAGCGCATTTTATCATTCAAATTTTACAGATCTAAGAAAATCGAGTTAAAAATATAAAAATTGCAGTAAACAGTAAATTTAATAGTTTGTAACTGTACACTGTTATCAATATTATGCAAGATTATTATTTACTTACATTATCAATCATTTAATAATGAGAACACTGACTACCATTATACAGTAATAATAATAAACTAATAATAATCGTCGGAATATCGTGGTCTATATCGATCACGTCTCGGATAAGAATCGTAACGATTGTATCTTCTGTAAGCCGGCCTTCTATAAGATCTCCTTTGTACCTCTTGTCGATATCTGAAAAGCGGTCTGAAGACAATATCCGCGGCGACTTCCATGTCGCGTGGATCTTTGGGATAGTTAATATCCGCATCCGAAGTCCAAAAGAGTGGTGTTACAATATCAACACGAGACATTGTAACTGGCAATGAATTTTCAGGATTAATATCGTTCGCGTACTTGGTCTGTTTTGTCGGCTCGTAGGGTGAAGATGATACTTCCATCTATGATGAAGAAATATATCTTTTAATCTTCTTCTATATATTTATTTTTATATCTTCAAATGCAAACTTATTATAGCTTAAGTTTTTAATCCAATTGGTTATAATAAATAGATGGTAAACGATTATTGCAATTTCGAAATGTCATCTATAAAATATTCTAACGTCTTTATTATAGTTTAATTTTAGATTTAATTTTCTGCAGCATTATTTTCTAACGTCTAGTAGCATGTTATACAAGATATCATTTTAATTTAACCACAATAATTGAAGACAGTAATAACAATGGCTTTTACAGTTACGTTTATACCATTTGTCCATCGATTAACCGAAATTTCATAGTTCCTAAAAAATAAAAAACTTAAAATATTGTCTTAAATATTGCGAAAAATTTATTTACCTTCGAAGAAGACGAATTGAGTTGCCAGTTATTAAGATCTACGCTCCACGAGCTTTCATCGACGTAATTTTGAACATTCCGTTGAATTTCATCACGTCCGTTCTCCAGTTGACTCTTCAACATTCCATCTTGTCTTGATAATACTCCCGCAATTGGCACGTCAATTTTTTCATTAGAAATTTTTGCGGGATCAAGGAACGCGATGATTGGTACCGATATTGCGGATGGATCTTCCGGTGGCACTATTTCCTGTCTCGGGTTTGCCACGAGATATGGAATTTCTTGTGGTATGTTATCGATAAAGAGCGGCTCGTGCGTAGTTTTAGATATCTCGGTTGCTTCGTAGAAATTATCATTCTGCAATGCATAGGACGAAATATCTTTGCCTTCCTGGAAGATGCATATGTTCGGTCATTATAATCATTATTATACATATTCTTTGATGATTTCTTCGTAAATTACATGGAACACAGCGATGATTTTTCCATGTTAGCAAAATCCAGTCGGTTATAAAATTAAATATTAAGTTGGTTACATGGTAAATAAAAATAAATTATTTCTTTATATGAAAATAATGCAAAACTTGGAAAACTCATTATACATATAATATGTATATTACGTGACAAAGGCTATACATTAAAATAAGAACAGAAAATGTATTTTGAAATAAATTTCTGTTTTATTTGAGATATAGATCTAATGCATATTAGACAAACACTTTTTGAAAATAACCAATTAATTAAATTCGAAAAATTAAAATAAATATAATTATGGCAATTATATTTATGGATGAGTTTGTGTGTATCCATC